CATTTCAAAGACTTCAAGAGAAGATACTGGAATTAGCATCTCAGATTCCAAAAGCCAACACTTAAACTGGGCCCTGTTCACATACAACAAAAGCATAAACGAAAGTCACAGTTTGCTATTCCCATCACCAACTTAGACTCTGCAAAGTTCAGAAGACAGAGAAGAGGTTAAAATCACCAACCTCTTATGGTGTCCTTTCCTCCCACAGCAAAGTCCAAAAAAAAGCACAACCCCCTATCCTCCAGATTTACCTTCAGGCTCAGCCACAGAGTAAAAAGGAGAAGAAGCTGATCTCTCAGACCCAAAATGGCCGAGAACAGGCGACTCACCTTACAGCCCAAAATACAGCCTTACAGCCACACACAGCAAGAGTGACAACGAACCTCAGAACAGCAGACATAGGACAGGAAGTGGTTCAAACTCACTTATGAACCTTTGCCCGGGGAGAGGCAAAGAGGAGGGAGCTGGGAGCAGGGATATACCTGCAATACCTACATTGGACAGGGAGAGACCAAAATGATCTTCCAAGAACAGGTCAGTAAAATTCTGTGGTTTCTCTCTCCTCACTATGGCTCTTCCTAGGCAAGAAGACTAATTACTGACATAAGAAGGGTAAATGGGCTGTTACCCTAAATACTGAAAGTAGAATAACCTAATTAAAATCTCATAGGACTACAAAGGGAAAAACAAACAAAAAACAGCACCTACTAGGAACTTAGTAATCTAGAGCTCAGCTTACACATATCTTTCCTGCTTTTCTATCCCTCAGACAAATGGGATCTCAGTGTATGGTCCCAACTCGTTCCCTCCCCTCCTCCCACACTTCTTGTGGGAATCTCCTGACCTGATGCCAGCAGGGCCCTTGTAATTCACAAAAGCTAACTCTATCATACAATGACTCCTCTTTACAACAAGGAATCGTCACGTCACACACAGTTATCTCCACCCTGACAAAGATGTCAAAAAGGAGGTGAAACTGAACTAGATCCTAAAGGATAAGGAAAGTTCGCTGGGCAGAGAAAAAAAGGCATTCCCAGTAGAGGAAGCAGCTATTACAAAGTTTTCAAGGCTCAAAAAAGTAACATGCTTTTAGGGAACTGTGAACAATTTATTCAAACTAGAACACAGATTAGGGAGTGGCAGATGAGACTGGAGAGGTGAGCTGAAGCCCAATGATGCCATATTAAGAAACTTGGATGTTGTCCTACAGGACACAAAGAGCCAAAAGTTTTTAAGCAGAACAATTCTGTGATCAGATATATATTTTTTAGAAAAATCATTCTAGGGCTGGACTAGAAAAGATCAAGTTTTAAGACAAAAAATTGTTTTAAAAAAATCACATGAGGTAAGGGGGAGCAAAACTAAAGCTTTAACAGTGAAAATGTAGCAACAGAGACATAGAGAAGAGAGATAACATAGAGGGAAATGTATTAAGATTTTAGCAAATGATTGAATGCAGGGAGTGAAAGAACAGAAAGTATGAAAGATGACAATGAAGTCCTTGCCTGGAACGAGATAGGGTAGATGAGTCCAAAGGCGGGCTTTTGGGGCAAAGTCTGTGAGTTCTGTTTTAGACATGTTAATTCTGAGATAACTGTGGAGATACACAGATCAATAAACATGTATATTTGGAATATAGGGAAAGACTGACACTAGATACAGAGGAATAATCAATTCATGATACATTTTTTCTTTTCTTTTCTTTTTTTTTTTTTTTTTGAGATGGGGTCTCACTCTGTCACCCAGGCTGGAGTGCAATGGCTCGACCTCATCTCACTGCAACCTCTACCTCCCAGGGTCAAGTAATCCTCCCATTTCAGCCTATAGAGTAGCTGGGACCACAAGCATACACAACCTGGCTAATTTTTGATGTTTTATTTGGTGGTAACTTTTTTTTTTTTTTGGTAGAAATGGGGTTTCAAAATGTTGCCCAGGTTGGTCTCAAACTCCTGAGCTCAAGTGATCTGCCTGCCTCAGCCGCCTAAAGTGCTAGGATTACAGGTGTGAGCCACCATATCTGGTCTATTATGATATATTTTCACATTTCACATTATCTCTCTAAATTGAAATTATCTTTTCACGTGTCTATCTCTCCCAATGAGACCAAAAACCCCTTGAGAGCTCAGATGATCATGTTTTATTCATCTTGTTATCCCATAAAATGTGAGCATCACAAGTACAAACTATATCTTCAAGAAGTATTTGTTGAATGAATAAATGAATTCATTCTCCCAGCACTTAGTAGCATGCCTGGCACAGAGCAAATATGGAATAAATGATTAACACAGTACCCTAAACACGCTACTATCTCTATATCATAATCCTTGTGTATGTTTCATCTTCTCAGGCCTACCACTCAGCTATATGACACAAATCAAAATCCATTATACTTAATGCACTACTATTTTAACAGTTTGGTATAGCAAACAATAAGCTTACCAAATCTCATGCTTTCTCCATTATAACCAAGAATTTAGGCAGTTCCTAAAAACCCTCTAATATTTGGCTTGATTCATCCTATGACTATCATACGATCCACTATCAAGATGTGATCCATACATTATATATGCCTGTTCCAATGTCATTGCCACAACATTAAACATAACCCTCATCGCTATGTTACCCTCACGGTCCCTTTACCATCTTTTGGAAATAGAACAATTACAAATCATTAAAAAATCCTCTCACATTACCTGCAATTTCTATTATAAATCTTCTTTCCCCAAGTCTCTCTTACTCTGAGACAAAATTCTGGGTTCAACTTTGCCACTGTATGATATGTGACCTCTGGCTTTTGAATTTAATTTCTCATCTATAAAATGAAAATTCCTGTCTCTGTCTACCTCACAAGTATCTACATAAATCGATAAAATAAAATTTGAAATCGCTATGTAAAGCATGAATGCTGTTCAGATGTCAAATTATACAAAATCATTGTATAAATGTATGCTTCTTCAATCTAATACAACAGCCACACCATCATCACTCTAAATTTCTGGAGTTCATAAAGCTATAATTTTTTAAATTAAAAATTGGGTTGTCACTATTCATTTGGGTATATTAGATCTTTTTTTAAAAAAACCACTCTCTACTTTCACCAATACTTCATCAATGAAAGAGCACTTCAAGACCAAAAGAATAGGAATGATAATCTCTGAGAAAAAAATTTATCTTCATGAATAACTATGGTGTCTTTGTTTCTCTCCTTCCATCTTGGATGGATGACAATTTTATCATGTACAGGGTCCTTGACCCAGTGTTTAGGAACCACTACTCCAAACTCTGAACTATACATGTAGGTCCTATACAGTTCTGTCTGGGCAAGTTGCCAAGGGTTCCACCAATATGGAGGCCTGTTTGGTCTCCAGAAAGAAGCAATGAGAATATACCACAGGATAGAAGAGTTGGCTCTGAAGCTATGACTCTGGAAAAGAATGGGGACTGAGGCTAATTCTCAGGGAATAGTCTGGAGAGGAAAGACTTAGCTCTTCCTGAGTCTGGAAAGAATCAGGATGTCCCAACCCCATGGCAGACTATCAGTAGAAAGGAAAATTTATTAGTGTGAACATGGCCATTATCACTGAATGCCAACCCAACTTTCCAGAATTCCATGTGCATTTGGGTTGGTGGGGAGAAGGGGACCTAAAAAATCCCTAGCAAGATGAACCCAATTACAGGGTGTGGAGAGAAAGAGATGAATTTTCAGGTGGTTGAAATGTTCAAGAGTGATGGTTTCACAGATGTGTACACAGGTCAAAACTCATCAAACGTACATTTTAAATACAATATAAACCAGCTTTTAAAAAAATTCGACTGTAAGAAAGGAGAGCAAAGCCATCCTGTTTGGGAGCCTAATCATAGTGCTGTATAGGGCAAACCATATGACCTCCGTAAAAGTAGAATTAGCAAATGAAAATGGTCAATCCAATCAAAGACCCACAGTTAAGCATAGGTAAGGAGCAAAATTTGAATAAGGTTGTCCAGAAGCAGGTAGAGAGAAAACACAAGCTGTCATAGTGCAAACCCTTCATGAGAGGGCCCATCTTCAACTATGCAGTCCAAAGGAGAAACTTAGAGGAACTGAAGTTTCAGTGATTACTCTGTTGAAGACTGAGCCTCAGATATGATTTTCATTATCATAGTACATGACATCTTCATTTTCTCATCCTCCAGAATATGGAAAGTCCATGGAGTCAAGTACACAACATTTCCACCTAAGTTGCCCTACCCTGTCTAAAACTATTACTCTCACTGGGCAGGACAGTCAAGCATCGAAGGAGGCCCAGAATCAACCTCTCACCTTTATCCAAGTCTCACAGCCCTAATTTCCTCCTTCCATGGCCCGCCTTCAACTGCCTCACCAATTTGCCGCCAACCCACAGACTACCACCTTCGCCTTTGACTTTCCCTCTCCTCGCGCAGGCCTTACCCCCTCACTCTAGTCCCCGGGTATCCCTCACCCCACCAGCCCTCAGTAGCCCCAGCCCTAGTAAACCGCGTTCAGGAGTCCCTTCAACTTGGCACCTCCGAAAGCACCCCAGCCCCTCAGAGACCCTCATTTGTTCATTCACCTGTAAGCTCCCCCTCTCCTCCCCTATCTTAGACACTTACTCCCGGACCCTCACCACCTGCCAATCCCTCACAACCAGTACAGTAACCAAACCCGGTACCATTTTTTCCCAGTCTCTCAGCCCCTCCAAGAGCCTCTCCAGGCCCTCTGGCTCGTGCGTACCGTTCACTCACGGAGCGCCGACCCTGGCCAGGCCCGGTCGTCGAGGCTGTGTTAGGTGAGTTCAGGCCGCCGCCATCGCTTCTCAGGCGCACCATCCGCGCCCCGCCCCGCGCCACACGCAGCCCGCACCCCCGCGCACTACACGTAACCGCCCGGCGACGCACGACTGGGCAATGGCGTGCCAGCTCATTGGCTGAGCCAGACCAAACCGGAGCCGGGACGCTTGTTTCCTGGCAACGGCCGAACGCAGGGGCGGGGTCGCCCACAGCCTTCCGGGTGAGGAGCACCGCCTCTCCTCCCGGTTCCGCCCCATTCGTTTGTAAACCCCGCCCCTCAGAAGGACTCCGGCTTGTCATCGGGGAAGGCCTCTGGGAAGGTGGAGGCCCGCAGGGCGGAGGCGGAGCCCGGGAAGGAAAGGTCGAACCAGAGGGCAGAAGGCGGGACCTAAGGAGAGACGCGACTTTTAGAGGCAGGGAAAAGTCAGAAAGGCGGGGCTTGGGAGAGAGGGAGCCGGAAGAAAGACTTAGAAGAAAGGGGTGGGGCCACGGGTTCCGGGCGAAGCTTGGAGTGGAAGAGTGGGTGTGGAGGGCGTGGCTATCACGAAAGATTAGATCTGAGAGGAGGAATCAGTAGGTGGGCCCGACCCGCGGAAAAGCGGAGGCCTAGAGATGGCTGACTGTGGGCAATCTAGTTCATTTTTGCTCCATCGTGGTGCATAGCTTGGTCTCTATTTTAGTACCCCAGCGGTGACTGCCCCTGGCTCCCCCAGCATCTTTGTGCTGTGCTGCTCCGTGACCCCTTGAGCACTTAATCAAGAAACACGGAATAAGTGCCTGCATGTCCAGCTGGATTTCAGATCAATTAGAACAGGTCTCTGCTCTCCAGGACTTCAGAGAATTGCAATGTAGTGTAATAAGTGCAATACTACGGGGGCCATGTAGGAGCAGCACTTAGCATGATTCGCATGTATAGAGAATGAGAGGAAGGTAGGGTGAAGGAGCTTAGGGAAGACTTCCAGAAGGAGATGCTGTCTAAGCCGAGTCTTGGGAAACAAGCAAGAATAAGATAAACTAAAATAGAAAAACAGAAGTTTCAGATGAGGTCTGTAGTTTTAAAAGTATTTTACCAATATTAAATACCTGGTTTTTTATCATTGTGCTATGGTTATATAAGATCATAACATTAGGGAAATATGGATAAGGAATTGATAAGAACTCTGTATTATTTTTGCAACTTTTCTGTAAGCCTAAAATTAGTTCAAATAAAAAATATTTTAAAAGAAATAGAAGTTTCAAACCACAGGATCAGCATATACCAGGGAAAGGAAAAATGGACAACATGTGGGGGGGGGCGTCCTATAAGAACTGCAATCAGTACAGTGTCTGGAGCCTAGGGAACATGTGAGGAAACATTGTGGGATGAGGCTGAAGATATGGACTAAAGAACTTTATAAACCATGTTAAGGAATTTCAATTTTACTTTTGGGATGATGGCTACAAAGAATTTTGTACATAGATTGCTAGTGAGGGGACCTTTGCAAAGACCAAACAAGCTTATAAAGCCCAAACTAGAATAGTAAAAATGCAAAGAAGCAGACATGTGGACTTTTAGAAGGTAGATCACCATAGTTTGATGATTGGGTGGATATAAGAGGAAAATAAGAGGAAGAATTAAAAACTAATGCTTAGCTTATATAAATTCAAAAACAGGTAAAACTAAACTATGATATTAGAATTCAGGATAGTGATTACTCTTGGAAAAACATTGACTGAAAGGGACAGAATGGGGCTCCTGAGGCACTGGTGATGTTCTGTTTCTTAATCTGAGTGCTGATTATATGGGTGTGTTCACTTTGTGAAAATATATCAAGCTATATACTTAAGGATTGTGCACCTTTGTCTATGTTTGCTTGTTCTGGTTACTATGCTGTGTGACAAACCAACCCAAACTTAGTGTCACAAAAACAATAGCCATTTCATTATGTGCACAAATTTTGGGAATTTGGATGAGATACAACAGGAATGATTTGTCTCTATTCCACGATGTCTGGGGTCTTATCTGTAAAACTTGAACATTTAGGGGTGATTTGAGGATGGTGATTGGAAGCTTCTTCAGTCACACATCTGATTCCTGGGCTGGAACAACAAAAAAACTGAACTCAGTGGGGGAACTGTCAAACAGAACTTTTCAGTGTGATGGGTAGTTTCCAAGAGGGAATATTCTGAGAGGGAGCTACCAGACCATAAGCATTCTAAGAGAACCAGAGGGAAGTTGCATGGCCTTTTATGATCTAGCCTCACACGTCATACAGCATCACTCCTGCTATACTCTATTGGTTGAAACTATCACAAGGGAGTGGTGTCAAAGAATTTGTGGCCTTGTTGTTGTTGTTGTTGTTGTTGAGATGGAGTCTCATTCTGTCACCCCAGCTGGAGTGCAGTGGTGCAGTCTCGGCTTGCTGCAACCTCCGCTTCCCTGTTCAAGTAATTCTCCTGCCTCAGCCTCCTGAGTCACTGGAACTACAGGAGTACGCCACCATGCCAGGCTAATTTTCTGTATTTTAGTAGAGACAGGGTTTCACCATGTTGCTCAGGCTGGTCTCAAACTCCTGAGCTCAGGCAGTCTGCCTGCCTCAGCCTCCCAAAGTGCTAGAATTACAAGCCTGAGCCACTGCACCCGGACTGTGACCATTTTTTTTAACTGCCACAATGTTATACAATAATAATAAATGCAGGTCCTAGGTTTCTTGCTGAAAAGGCAGAGATAGGAATTCTAGGAGAAAAAGTAGATAGAGGAAGATAATGAGCTCAGTTATAGACCCAATGGGTGGAAGGTGACTATGGGATATCCAAGTAGGAACATCCAGTGAGCAGTTAGTCATATAGATAACTGCAGCTCAGGGAGAGTTCTTGGGAGCCACTACATGGCAAAGGAAGTCCTGTGGGTGACTGACGTCATCCAGAAAGAGTTAGGAGGATGGCAAAAGAGGAAAGCCTAAAACAGAATCCAAGGGAAAAAAAAAAAAACACCATCATAGAAGGAATAGGCAGAGGAGCTTATGAAAGATACTTAAAAAAAAAAAAAAAAACAGAAAATGAAGACATTATGGCATCACAAAGGATTTTATTCATTTTTTGCATTATTTTGAATATTGTCTTTTCATTTTAACATGTGGGGCTTCTAAATTAATTAAGAAGCCATGGAAAAAGAGAGTTTCACAAAAATTAGTTAGGGACCACAGGTTTTTCTCCTAAAACACTCCAAAAACACAAACCTGATTCTATCACTTAACTGTGCAAAACTCTCCACAGCTTCTCTGTTGCCGTTGGGTAAAATCCAAGCTTTATAACGTGGCTGACAGAACTCTTCCTGAGCTGACTTCTGTCTATCATTCACCTCATCTCTCATCTCTCACCATGCCTCATCTCTCACCACTACCCACTAGGTCCTATAAAATAAACCAATTGATGTTTGCCCAGTCACCCATGCTTTTTGATGTCTCCATGCCTTTGCCCACTTTGTGCACTCTGCCTCTGGTGCTCTTCACCCTCCCATCTCTGTACCCAACTTATATTCATCCTACAGAACCCATGTTCTGTAGGGACACTTCCTGTGTACTATAATAGCCTTCTGTGTATCCACCTAACAGAGTACTCATCAGTATCCTGGCAATACTGCTACTGTTTAGTTACCTAATGTGTAATTACCTGCCTGCCTGACTATTTCACCCAGCTGACTGTGAAATATGGGGGGGATTATGTCTTATTCATCTCCATTTCCTAGTATTTAGCACAATATTGGCCTAGCACACAGAATACCTGCCTATGGGTGTTCTGATTTTCATTTGTTGACTGAGAAGGATGATAGTAGTGTAAGGAACATCAGGTTGAGGGAGAAATTATAGGGTTTTTATTTGTTTTTATAAAGGAGATATTTAAGCAGGTTCACAAAAAGAGAAAAGTTGAAAGATTGGGGACCATAAAACACATGGAATAGCTGCTAGGATCAGGCACTAGAAGTAAAAAGAAGGAAATGAGGACAAAAGCACCATAGAATGGCCCCTATCACACTATCTATGATAGTGGTGTGATGGGGTAAGGTGTATATGGAGGTAGATATGGGGAGGATGTAGGTTATGAAAATAGAGCTCACTTCTCATGTGAGAAGCATGTCTTTGTCCCTGGAGAATAGTTTAGCATCTGACATAGATGAGCCATTCAGTCATAGTTGTTAAATAAACAGTGAGGCCCACACAGAGAATTTGCAAAGAACACAGTGAGTGTTTGATCCTACATGAAAACTCGGGTCTTCTAACCTGGAGGACACCTATGTAGCTCAATTGCTGTGAAGGAAGGGGAAGAGGAAGACAAGACCCAGGCTTCCCTCTGAGTCATGCACCCCCCACCTTCTCCAGGGATCTCATTAAAGGTGTTTAGCTGGGCAGATGTAAGCCCAGGCCCTGGGAGACAGGGCAGAGTACTGGAGCTAGACTGTCTCCACCCCTTCAGTAGCTCTGGTTGTGTTGCTAAGAGCCTCATAGGCAAAGAAGTCACAGCGGGAGCCCCAGGGCAGCCTCCTTCAGGCAGTCAGGCACTAGCCCCCAACTCGGGAAGTCCCCTACAGGCAGAGAAGGTGTGGACATCTCACATCCCAGCACGAGAGCACAGAACCATGAGCCAGGACACCAAAGTGAAGACAACAGAGTCCAATCCCCCAGCCACATCCAAAGCCAGGTGAGAAGTCCTGGTCCCCTGTGTGGGATCTCTCCTTATTCCTCCTGATGCCCAAGTCACAACTACAGTTTTGAATGCCTGGTGAATAAATGAAGCACGACTTTCCTTCTTACAGGAAGTCACTGCTTGTCCTGGACCCATCTGGGGATTACTACTACTGGTGGCTGAACACAATGGTCTTTCCAGTCATGTATAACCTCATCATCCTCGTGTGCAGGTTTGGCAGGGGCTCTAAGGGAAGGGAGAAAAGCCTAGAAGAGGACTGAAGAGTGAGGCCAAGAAGAAGGGCAGATCCTTGGGGGGGCAGGGAGGAGGGGCAACACCTCTGGGAGGGTCTGAGGCAGAGTGCTGAGGGCCCTGGGCAGACAGCTCACACACAGAGGGTGCCCTTAATCCAGTCATGCCTAACCCTGCCCTGTAGAGCCTGCTTCCCCGACTTGCAGCACGGTTATCTGGGGGCCTGGTTGGTGCTGGACTACACAAGTGACCTGCTGTACCTGCTGGACATCGTGGTGCGCTTCCACACAGGTCAGTGAGCTTCTAGGAATGACCCTTTGTTCCATGTTCCCTTCCTAATGACAGCCACTTAAGTAGTAACAAGAAAGGCATCCCCACCTGTCTCTACCTCTATTCGTGACAGCATCCCAGTGCTCACCCCAGAAACCCGGGAGCAGAGTTATACCCAGCTCCCCCCTGTCCTTTGGACCAGCTCCCTGGTCTGCCCTGGCCTGCTCAGGCTCAGCCACACTTGACTACAGCAGATGCCCTTCTTACCTCCCCCCAGGATTCTTAGAACAAGGCATCCTGGTGGTGGACAAGGGTAGGATCTCAAGTCGCTACGTTCGCACCTGGAGTTTCTTGCTGGACCTGGCTTCCCTGATGCCCACAGACGTGGTCTACCTGCGGCTGGGCCCACACACACCCACCCTGAGGCTGAACCGCTTTCTCCGCGTGCCCCGCCTCTTCGAGGCCTTCGACCGCACAGAGACCCGCACAGCTTACCCTAATGCCTTTCGCATTGCCAAGCTAATGCTTTACATTTTTGTCGTCATCCATTGGAACAGCTGCCTATACTTTGCCCTATCCCGGTACCTGGGCTTCGGGCGCGACGTATGGGTGTACCCGGACCCCGCACAGCCTGGCTTTGAGCGCCTGCGGCGCCAGTACCTCTACAGCTTTTATTTCTCCACGCTGATCCTGACTACAGTAGGCGATACGCCGCCGCCAGCCCGGGAGGAGGAGTACCTCTTCATGGCGGGTGACTTCCTGCTGGCTGTCATGGGTTTCGCTACCATCATGGGTAGCATGAGCTCTGTCATCTACAACATGAACACTGCAGATGCGACTTTCTACCCAGATCACGCGCTGGTGAAGAAGTATATGAAGCTGCAGCATGTCAACCGCAAGCTGGAGCGGAGAGTTATTGACTGGTGAGAATTTGGGGTTCCAGACCAGGACAGGAACCAGTGTGCATGATGGAACCTGAGGGAGGTAACTGGGTACTTATCACCTGGTGAGCCAGGCAAGGCAGTCAAAATGTAGCATTCAGCTGTGGATTTGCTGGGTGGGGCTTGGAAAGAGATGTCTTCAACAGGGAATCAGGACTTGGAGGGAGGAGGTGGGTAAGAGACCAACAGGGAGAGGAGCTCATACCCAAAAAAGGATAATATGGAGACCAGAGAATGGGAACTACCACTGCCTAAAAGGCTCTGGAAGGAGTGGGTGGAGAAGGGCAATCCTCCCTGAGAATGGCCCCAAACAGATGGTTGACTACCTTATGGTGATCCATAGTGTGGACTGAACAAAAAGGAAGTGTCACAAAATTGGGAGCGAGAACAGAGGGTCTCCAGAGAGCAGGGGGCTTGGTCGCTGAGGTAGCTAAGGGTAGGGGTGGAACAAGACAGCACTGATTGGTGGGTAGGGTAGAGCCTGACAGGAGGTGAAGGGTTATCTTATTTATTGTCAAGTGGTAGAGGTGTCTATGCCCTCGAAAACAGATTATCCAACTCTCAGGTACTCCCATGACCCCTGTTAGATCTCAGTATGGTGGGGTTCTTTGCTGGTGGAAGGAGTGGAGGCAGGCATATAAAAGGCTGGCAAGGAAATGGCACTGTCCTTACTCTAAGGTATCAGCACCTGCAGATCAACAAGAAGATGACCAATGAGGTAGCCATCTTACAGCACTTGCCTGAGCGGCTGCGGGCAGAAGTGGCTGTGTCCGTACACATGTCTACTCTGAGCCGGGTGCAGATCTTTCAGAACTGTGAGGCCAGCCTGCTGGAGGAGCTGGTGCTGAAGCTGCAGCCCCAGACCTACTCACCAGGTGAATATGTATGCCGCAAAGGGGACATTGGCCGAGAGATGTACATCATCAGAGAGGGTCAACTGGCCGTGGTGGCAGATGATGGTATCACACAGTATGCTGTGCTCGGTGCAGGGCTCTACTTTGGGGAGATCAGCATCATCAACATCAAAGGTGGGTATCCCAGTATTTGTTCCAGGGACAAGGACAGGGAGAGGGATGAGGACAGCAGAGTGCAGTGCTGAGATCAGATAGTACTTCAGGCCTAAACTTCTGATTGAGGAAACCTGGCCCTTCTCTGAGTCACTAGATGGCTCAGGAGAAAAACAACACATAGAGGACCCATTTCCTGAGAAGAAGCTGAGCCAAGGCCAGTGAAGAGGGTGGGTTCTTGGAAGAGAGAATAGACTTGCTCTGTAGGTATTGACCTGAAGCACCAATAGACTAGTGGAAAGTGACAGAGATAATAATAGCTAATATTTATTACATGCTTACTACATGTTCACATGATATTGAAACATTAAATTCCCATAACAGTTCCGTAAGAAAATCACTACTCTTATCCCAATTTTAAAGATAATGAAATCAAACTCAAAGTAGTCGGGTTATTTGCCCAAGGTGGCACAGGTATAACATGTGGGATGAGTAGAAAGAACAACTTTTTTACAGCCAAGTGGAAAGAAAGGTAGAAGAGAAGAAGTTCCCATTTACTGACCGTCACCTCTAGGCCAGGCCAGGTACTACCTACTGGCTCACTTTTTCCTTTTATCAGCCCTGTGCAGCAGGAATTGTTATGCTTAATCACAGGTATTAGGCATGAGGCCGTGTGCGAGTGGGAAATCCTGCAAAGCAGGTGAGCGCACTGTCATGGGCTGAGAGGCTAGATGTACTCTGGCTCTCTCAGCATGAGAGTTCTACCCTCAGGGATTCTGAAAGCCTCGCATCTGTCCTCCAATGATTCCCTCAAGCTCCACACACTGTATGTGGTAGGAGGCTGGCTGTTTGACTTTGGACAAGTCATTTTCCTACTTAAGCCTCAGTTTAATCACCTATCCAATGAGGATAATAATAAAAAACCTAAGAGTTATTTGTGAAAATAAACAAGCTATGTGAGTGAGACATCCAGCTCAATGCTTAGTGCACAGCAAGTGTTCAACAAATGGTAGCTCCCTTTCCCTTTTCCAAGGTCCTTCTAGCTCTAAGACTTTTCAGTATTCAGCCTTGCCTATCTCCCTACCCACTCTCCACCAACCTCCCTTTAAACTGCAGAGATATCATACAGCTCTCTGCTTAAAATATTTCAATAGCTTCCTACTGCCCTCAGCATAAGGTCTGAACTTCATGTCATGGCTTATGAGACTGAGCATGACCTAGATCTCCCTCTCTCCATCCTCTCCACAGCCTGCACTTTTGACACTCCAAACTGCTTACTAGTTTCTACATCCACCTGACTCTTTTCTACCCCCTTCCCTCTGTTCATGCTGCTCCCTCTGGCTAGATTGCCCTACCCCCACTTGTCCCCCTCTTCCTGTAGTTACCTTCTACTCAGTTCAGGTGTATTAGACTGTTTTTGCATTTCTATAAAGAAATATATGAGACTGGATAATTTATAAAGAAAATAGGTTTAATTGGCTCACAGTTCTGCAGGATTTACAGGAAGCATGGTGCTAGCATCTGCTCAGCTTCTAGAGAGACTTCAAGAAGCTTATAATTGTGGCAGAAGGCAAAAGGGGAGCAGGCATGTTGCCTGGTGAAAGCAGGAGCCAGAGGAAAGGGAGGTGCCATACACTTTCAAACAAGCAAAACAACCAGATCTCGTGGCATCAAGCTATGAATGATCTGCCCCCATGATTCAATCACCTCCCACCAGGTCCCACCCCCAACATTGGGGATTACATTTCACATGAGATTTGGGTGGGGAAAATATTCAGATTATGTCTTAGGACATCCCTTCCTCCAGACTTCCCTAAATTCTCTGCCTTACAGTCTGGTAGGGTCTCTTTGCCCACCTTTCCACAGTACCTGATGAATATGTCTACACTGCACCAGCCATACTGTTATGTAACTATTCCAATATATGTCTATCTCCACTAGACTGTGAATTATTTGAGGCAGGTCACTGATACCCACATAGCATAGAGCCTGTTCCCCAGTATGTTACTAAATGAAAGAATTAATGAGGCAGAAGGAGAGACTCAGAAGCACAAATATGGAGGTGGAGGTTCTGGTTCAGGAGTGAAATGCTACCTCCTCACCCTCCTGCTAACTATCCTCCCATCCACCCATGGGCCACAGGGAACATGTCTGGGAACCGCCGCACAGCTAACATCAAGAGCCTAGGTTATTCAGACCTATTCTGCCTGAGCAAGGAGGATCTGAAGGAGGTGCTGAGCGAGTATCCACAAGCACAGACCGTCATGGAGGAGAAGGGACGTGAGATCCTGCTGAAAATGAACAAGTTGGATGTGAATGCTGAGGCAGCTGAGATCGCCCTACAGGAGGCCACAGAGTCCCGGCTACGAGGCCTAGACCAGCAGCTGGATGATCTACAGACTAAGTTTGCTCGCCTGCTGGCTGAGCTGGAGTCCAGCGCACTTAAGATTGCTTACCGCGTTGAACGGCTAGAGTGGCAGACTCGAGAGTGGCCAATGCCCGAGGACGTGGTTGAGGCTGATGATGAGGGCGAGCCTGGGGAGGGAACTTCCAAGGATGAAGAGGGCAGGGCAAGCCAGAAGGGACCCCCTGATTTAGAGTGACCCCATCCACATCCCCAGAATTCCCACCTCCTAGTGAACCTGGAGATGTAGTAAAGCCTAACTGCTGCAACTCTGTCATCCTGTCGCCGATCGCAGACACAGGAGCAAATTAGTCTATAGATGCCCAGCTAGAGATGTAGGAGTATAGCGCACATTCATCCCCCACTCACCAATACACACACACACACACACACACACACACACACACGTTACTCATAGACCTGTTGGCCCCAAGACTGTGCATTCCACCTAAAATGCTCTGGAATTTCCATTCTCAGAGCACACAGCACACTTGCTTTCCCACAAGCACCAATATGTCTTATACCCACACAATATATACACATTCAGTCACACACCTCCTAAACACACAAGTGCTTACAGTCATACACCAATAGACACAGATGCACTTCACAGGTGTGTACACACTTGCGAAAACACAAAAGCACACTCTGAGCCTTCTAGGTCTAAGATATCTTTTGAATGTTCCGCATATGGGCTATTCACAAGTATACCCTGAAAATTGCACTTCAATAAAGTATCTGCCTCCTCCCTAAGCATTTATGAGGCTGGAAAGAAAAGGCAAAGTCAATGGTGGGGCCAGGATGGATTCTGTCTGAATTCTGAGTCACAGAGGTGATTAGCATGAACTGTGTAGTACCCCGTGGGTTAGATTCAGAAGTGAGGTACCTGAAGAATAGAGAATCAATACTCAGCCTAGGCAAAGCAGGCTCTCACATCACACTGCCATAAGAATGCCCCAACTGGCACTTTGGGAGGCCGAGGCGGGTGGATCACGAGGTCAACAGATCGAGACCTTCCTGGTCAACATAGTGAAACCCCGTCTCTACTAAAAATACAAAAAATTAGCTGGGCATGGTGACGTGTACCTGTAATCCCAGCTACTCAGGAGGCTGAGGCAGGAGAATTGCCTGAACCCAGGAGGCGGAGGTTGCAGTGAGCCGAGATAGCGCCATTGCACTCCAGCCTGGGTAACAAGAGTGAAACTCCGTCTCAAAAAAAAAAGAATGCCCCAACTGGCCTTTGCATCCCACACTAGAGCACATGTTCTCAATGTATAAGCTCTGAAGGGTTTCATCTAATTAAGTGGGCCAGAACAGATACCTCTGCTTCTTTTTCTTCCCTCTGGCCAGCCCTGGTGTCTGGGGCCAGGGGTTCCATGTGTTCAGGGCTGATTCCAAGAAGAGAATAGTTTCCTTCTCCCAACAGAAAGAGGGTGAATAGTTCCAACAGGACCATTCACCTGGCCCTGTCCTCCCATGATAGTTGTTGGAACTGGTGTTGTTTCTGGTAGAAATCCAGCCCTCCCTCTTTGCACAGTATTCCAAAACACAGGGGAGAGTAGAGACTAGGTGCAGTGGAATATTATGTTCAGAAGCAACTAGAGATGAGTGTGTTGGGAATTTTGGAGTTAACTCTGGTGTACTTGGAAGGAGGTCTGCACTTGGGGCAGGAAAGGTATCGTAGGGTCTATGAGGAGGAGTCTGATGTCATGTCTGACCCGGATTCACCCTGAGCCACCACTGCAGCTCCTCTACTGCCTGGTCAGTCTTGAAGCCTCAGCTGTGGCAAGTGGTAGTTGAAAATATATCCAGGATTTAACTTATAGGTATAACTGAGTGATGTGTCTCTACTCTCAGGAGAGATTATGAGGGTAATCACATTTTAAATCATATACGTTAGTATATGGTTATTTGGTGATAAGTCTTTGTCACAAAATGTAAGATCCACGAGACCAGCACTGGGTTTTTCTTGTTCATCTCTGTGTCCCCAGGGATGTACCTGGCACATAGTAAGTACCCAAATATATATTTGGTAACCAAAGAAGAGAGAGTTGAAGCAGATAGAGGCCAAATGTTGGAGGAGATGTGTGTCAGTTTCTTGAGAGGTTTTTTGTTTTTTTAATCATCTTTGCCCTCATATCATCTTGAGCTAGAATGGGTGGGTACATTGCAAAGGCCATTTAGGTGGCATCTGATGGATTTAGGGAGTTGAGAACAAGTTTTTCACTGACACATTGCAATGTGCACAACTGTTCCCAGTGAAGGCTCTCTTAGAACAGGCTCTCTTAGAAAGATCTCTACATTTTAGGGTTCATCTGATTAGAGCAGGTTCACCTAAATAATGCAGAGTAAGCTCCCTATTTTAAGGTCAACTGATAATATTAACTAATTTAATTACATCCTCGATGTCCCTTTTGTCATATCCCTGGGAATAACATCAGAGGGCAAAAGTAATTTCTAGGGAGAAAAGCAACCTAGGCACCACTTTCAATGAGGGCCCAAAATAGGGAACACTAAGAGTTGAGTCTTTGGAAAGAGCTGGAGAATGATCACTGTGCCTGAGCAGGTGCTGGAGCCTCAGAACAGCACCCCCTACAAGTGTGCAGGCTTGAACAAGGCACATACCAGCATTATCAGCATGCTCCGAAGACCGGAGGCCCTGCCCTAGATGTTCTGCTCAACATAAAAGCCCCAGAGACTGTTGCAAGGCCCTAAATTGGGAAAGAGAGTGGGAAGAAAGCCCAAAACATAACCAAGATTAAATATCCCATAAAGGGAAAACAGCATGGAGATTCCTTAAAGAACTAAATGTAGAACTACCAATTGATCCAGCAATCCCACTACTGGGTATTTACCAAAGGAAAAGAAGTCATTATATGAAAAACACACATATAGCAGCACAATTCACAATTGCAAAGATATGGAACTGACCTAAGTGCCCATCAACCAACAAGGGGATAAAGAGAATGTGGTATGTTAGGCCAGACACAGTGGCTTATGCCTGTAATCCCAGCGCTTTGGGAGGTAAAGGTGGGTGGTTCACTTGAGGCCAGGAGTTCAAGACCAGCCTGGCCAACATGGTGAAACCTCGTCTCTACTAAAAGTTAAAAAAAACAATAGCCAGGCATGGTGGTGCACAACTGTAATTCCAGCTACTAGGGAGGCTGAGACAAGAGGATTGCTTGAACCTGGGAGGTGGAGGTTGCAGTGAGCCAAGATCATGCCACTGTAGTCTGGCCTGGACAACCGAGCGAGACTCTGTCTCAAAAATGAAAGAAGAAAGAAAGAGAGAGAGAGGGAGGAAGGGAGGGAGGGAAGGATGGAAGGAAAGGAAAGGAAAGGAAGGAAGGAAGGAGTGAAGGAAGGAAAAAGAAAGAAAGAGAGAGAGAAAGAAGGAAAAGAAAAGAAAATGTGTTATGTTTAGACCATGGGATACTACTCAGCCATAAAAAGGAGTGAAATAATGTCTTCTGCAGCTTAGATGGCGCTGGAGGCCATTATTCTAAATGAAGTAACTCAGGAATGGAAAACCAAATACTGTATGTTCTTACTTACAAGTAGAAGCTAAGCTACAAGTACACAAAGGCATAAGACTGATATGATGGACTCTGGGGACTCTAGGGGAAGGTTGGGAGGGAGTGAGGGATAAAAGACTGCACGTTGGGTATAGCGTACACTGCTTCGGCACTAAAATCTCAGAAATCACCACTAAGGAACTTAACCATGTAACAAAAACCCACCTGTACCCCCAAAACTATTGAAATTAAATAAATATTTTATAAAGTAAATGTTTAAAAGTTTACATGAGAATTATCTGATTTAGAGAATCAAATGTCTAATTTTTTACACACTTGTGGAATAGTTCACAAACTGCAAACTGCTCTACGTATATTATCTGATTTGGTTCTTAAAACAATGTGAGGAAATTTAAATGATTATTAATACTATGATGATGATGCTCATCTTTCTAGATAAGGAAATTGAAGCCCACAGAGCCACTAAAGATATTATATCTGATTTATTGAGAAGTTACTTTATGCCAGATCCTGGGTTAAGTCCATTGTCTCAATCCTTACAATTATATGAGAAAGATGTTATTATTACCCCATTTTGGAATGAGGAAACCAGATTCTAGGATTAGATAACTTGCCCAATACTACAGGGTCTCTAAGTCACATGGGATGAAACCCAGGTCTGTCATATTGTTTCATTTAGGGACATAAGGAAAGGAATCACCTGGTTTGAGGCCAAGGCCAGAAGAGCTCTTCCTTTCTTGAGAATGATTGTCAGGGGCAGTAACTGCAGTAACCAAGGGGAAGATTACTGGATGCGCCAATCAGAGCCAGCTGTGCCAAGCAAAGCTTGTGAGTCACTGGCAAGGCTGCCTGCAGGCAAATATAAAGGACCACCAGGTACTCTGGATAAGAGCTGCCAATTCCAGCCCCAGGGTCTGCACACAATACAGCTGTGAGAGGGGGACAGGAGTTTGGGAGTCACTGCTACATTTCTACAGAGGTGTCAAGACTACTTTAGGGCCTTCCTTCTGAGAGCCCTATTGCTTCAGGCTTAGCCCTGTTTCCTCCTACAGGACCTAGGGCCTCACCTACTTCTTTCCTTGGTCACGACCCTTAGAAAACTTCAGTCTGGCTAAGATTTGGGATGTAGATTCCTCCTCCATGTTCCCAGTTAGCTACTCCTCCACAGAATCTTCTTGGACCCACCACACCCTCCCTACCCCTTCTTTCTTGGGATTTCGCTGCTAGCCCCAGAAGACAGATGGAAATAAAGTATCAAGTTTGGAGGAAATCAGATTCCTGGGGAGACAGGCATTCGATCCAATGGAATGTTTGCTCCTAGTGCAAACACTAGGAGCCAGAAGCAGGAGGCAGGGTGGGTGGATTCTAATTTGACTAAGCTGGAGTTTGTCTTGAGGTTAGGATCAGAGGTAGTGGTCAAGCTGGGTAAGGGCTGGGATCCTCAAGCCTGTAATTCCAGCACTTTGGGAAGCCAAGACAGGTGGATCACGAGGTCAAGAGATCGAGACCATTCTGGTTAACATGGTGAAACCCCATCTCTACTAAAAATACAAAAAATTAGCTGGGCATGGTGGTGCGTGCCTGTAATCCCAGCTACTCAGGAGGCTGAGGCAGGAGAATGGCCTGAACCCAGGAGGCGGAGGTTGTGGTGAGCTGAGATCGCGCCATTGCACTCCAGCCTGGGTAACAAGAGCGAAACTCTGTCTCAAAAAAAAAAAAAAAAAAAAGAGCTGGGATCAGAGCTACGACCTAAGTCAGAGCAAGTGTTAGGCTAGCCTTAAAGTACAACATATGGAAAACGGCGTGCATTAGGCAGCAACCAGAGTTGTATTTTTAGTTCTGAAACATCACTTCCTAGCTGGGGGACTGTCAACCTTTTCCTCAAAATCTTTCAGTGTTGTTTAGAGAAATGCTGATGATTTAAAATCTAAGCAAGATGATGAATGTAAACAGCCTACTAGTGTCTAGAAGATGATAATCTCTTAATAATTAACAGTAGCTATGACTGTTACTCTCTCTAGCAGCTGTTGTGCCTTTGAGGGCCTTGGGCACAGGTTGTCCTGCTCTGCTTGCCCTCTGGCGGGGCCTCCAGGTTGTGCAGGCAAATACCAGGTCTGGCCAGGAGAGGGCGCAAGGCACTTCTTCCTTTCTTCCTTCCACCTCCCTCCCAGGCTTAGGATTGCATTGCCTTGAAAAGCTTGAAGAATTTCTCAGGCAAAAATGGAATCTCAGGAACATGGAACAACGTTGGGGAATTGTGATCTCAACTGGTCTTGTTTATGCTTTTTCACAATGACTGAAATATATCCGTGGTGACATTGAGAGACGTTACGGAAAAGGACGTGCCAATCAGCAGTCCTGTTGCAGGCAGCACCACTGAATGGCTGGGAACATTCAGACTGCCCTCCCCACAGATTGAAAGTTCTTTCTGCTTCTCAGCACTAGCTCACATGAAGCCTCTCTGTGTCTGTCTTCACCTTTTCAGTTCCCATACCTTGGCCCGTTGTCCTCAACCTCTCCTTCACCAGTATGTCCAACAGACAGGGCCCCAGAGGTTACTGACTTGTAACCGTTCATAGAAGCCCTCTCTCTGAATGATCTTCTTTTGGCTCTTTTAACCTTCAAGTAAGGCCCTGACCTGGGAGATAAAGGCCTCTCTTGGCCTACCCATAAGGGCCTACATCTGAAGTCAAGTATCCAGCCAGAGCCAGCCCCTGAATGCTGAATGGGTGCCTCTGCTCTTCCCCAGCACAAGCCCCAGATGTCTGAAAGGCCAGTCCTTGTCCTGGTTTCTTTTGTCTGCCCAACAGCCCTGCCTGCTCTGGCTCTAGCCCATCTGCCTTCTCAGCTGGCTCCCTCTGTTTAATCATCCCAAGAGAAGGGCCTCCTGCATGGGCAGAGAATGTGTGGGCAGGATCTCAGCACAGAAGCAAGTCTGCACATCACAGAAATGCAGAGAAGAGAAGGCCTTGAAAGATAGGAGAAGGTGGCCTAATCAGACACAAAGGGAGGGGCTGAGCAAATGAGGAAAAGGGCAAGCTGGGCACCCCAAGGACTAAACTGTAGCTGATTTCTCTCCTAGCACCAGACCCCAGATGCACATGTGTGCGTCAGAACCAGGAGTGCTGAAGGCAGAGCCTATTACATGACCCTCACACTGCTGGGAATGTAAACACTGGGTTTCCTGGTTAAAGCACTGATATTTTGTGGACCTTGCAAGCTGCCTGGAATAAGCAGTATCTTATAAAGCAGCTTATCTGGCACTGTGCGTGAGGCACTATGTTCTGCTCTCTTTGGTTGTTTCCCATGAATATTTTCCAAAGTTTTATTTAAATGTTCCCCTCTTATCTCATTTGTGATATAGAGTATTGAAAGAAGGATCATGTGCCCACATTTGGGCCAATGGGGCAGTACTATGAGTGATTGAGACTTTCCAAAGGGGAAAGTAAATTGTTATCGCTACAAAAGCCAGGCTAGGTGGTCCAAAATCCCACTCCAAAAAACGAAAACCAAAACTAAAGCCAACAACCTTGGCAGGTCAAGCCTTGAGTTAGAAAGGCGGGTTCCCTTAGGACTGAGCCCAGCCTACTTGAGGACCTCTTGCACATGCTTCCTTGACCTCTTGGTTTTCTGACTTGTTCCTGGAAAAGGGTCTAGGTCTCTTTCATATGGCTTTGCCCATTTTGACTTTGCAGTTTCCTCCTTACTAAGATCTAAAGCCTCCATACTTCCTGGCCCTGAGATATTCCATTCTCTCCAAATGCTGGCTTATCTCTTGCATAGGAACTATAGATGGAATTTCCTGATTTTGAGACACGAGTTCTACCCTTTTAGCACTGCATTTTCATTCCTTTCCCCTCCATCCTCTGCTCTCCCTCCCTTCTTCACTATAGCTATTGCTTTTATTTTCCTTTTTACAAAACATCTTGAAATCAATCTAAACATGCCATCTCCCAGCCCTCACCTCCCATCACCCATCTGCATTTAGTTAGAGGGGAGAATATACAAAGATGATGAAAAACATGGCCTGCACAAGGAAAATATAAGATATTTGAGGTTCCTGAAGCCAAGTATGACCATCCAGCTAGAGCCAGTGTCTGGGTGTGAGAGTAAAGAAAAATAAAAAATAAGTAATGACAGCAGTGTGGCGAGAAGTCTGAGAAACTATTGGAGAAAGGGGCATGTACTAGTTGCTACAGCAAGGTTGCCACAGCAAGACACCGCAGACTGGATGACTTCAACAGCAGAAATTTATTTTCTCACAGTTCTAGAGCTTAGAAGACCCATCTCAAGGTACAGACACATTCAATTTCTGATGAGGGCTCGCTTCTTGGCCTGCAGACAGCTGCCTTCTCAACACATCCTCACATGGTCTTTCCTCTGTGTGTGGCTTGCAGGACACAGGGTTGGGAGGGGATGAGGGAAGTGGTGGATCAGAAGATAACTGGTGTCTCTTCCCCATCTTATAAGGACAACAGTTCTAGCCCCACCCTTACAACCTTATTTAACTTTATCTCCTTAAAGGCCCTATCTCCAAACACAGTAACAAGGGCAGGAGCTAGACCCTTGGAATATAATTCTCTCTTCTCCATGTCCAGCTGAGATTTTATGGCCCATTATTTCACACTTGTTCCTTTATTTTTCCATTCCATTCATCTGGTAAAATTCCAACTTCGGATGAACCAAACCAACAACATTCTCCTTGCTTGCATCCAACCAGCTGAGCTCTGCTGAGAAACAGATCCCACTAGAAATTCATGCTCATCAATCCTTAAATGGTCCCTCAATACTTTCCTATTATCTCACTACATTCCTCGGGTCTCCTCTTTCCTTCTCCCATTATGTATTGTTTTCTTAAACCATCTTGACTACTAAAATTTTTATCACACACACACACACACACACACACACACACACACACACACACGTCTCTCTAATAACCAAACCTCCAACTTCATAGCAAAAATAAAAACTATCAGACAGCAGCTCCCTACCAAATCTGCAAACCACTGTCTTAGTTAAAAAGCAGGTTAGGTTTCCATGACAATAGAGAAAAAAATTGTAAGGACTTAAGACTGTAGTTTCTTTTTCATACAGAATAACCAGGGATAATAAAATGGTTTGAGAGTATAGGAGACCCAGACTCCTTCCACCTTGTCACTGTGCCATCCCTAATATGCTACCCTCACTGCATAAGTGAAGGTGGCTTGCTTTCCTATTTACATTCCTGTTGCTCCCCTAAAGGGGCAATG